CGTCAGATTGATGTGAAGCTTAGGCTTCCTCGCAGTGGGATTGAGGACTGTTTAACAACCATTAAGAGCAATGGCAAACTCTCTGTGATCCTAATCATTTTATGGTCTTCCGTTTGTCTTTTCGGGCTGTTGGATCCCTGAAGCTTTCAAAGCCGTTGACCAGGAAAAGTGAAAAAAACTTATGTACTTACTTTTTGCATCACTCCATTTATAATTTTTCATGTCGTGATTTATCTGTCAGTAAGATTTTGATAACCCACTACTATCTAAAATCACTTGATTTACATGTGAAGGTATATCCTTAAAGAAATTTAAATCGTGTTCTTTTATAAATGCTTCCTTAACAACCAGAAAACCATTGTACCTTTCGTCAATTTATAGGTCTCCGTAAACATCCAAATTCCACATGTTTCTTCGCATCTTCAAGCCAGTAAAGTCAGAACAATTTACAGGGGGCTGAAATTGATAGGGCCTGCCCGAATAAAATGCATTTTGTTACCTTTTTGTGCGCACTTTTAAGTTTGCTCATCAGATGACGACTGCTTGGTTTCGTGACTTCTAACAAGGGCATGTCTGTACATATTCCAGGTCGCAACCAACGCCAAACTCTGGTGGCTCAAGTAACCCATCACGCGGATCTCGTCTTCTTTCAGTTTTCGCTAATATTCTCGAGTCGTGTACAGAGAGCAAAGCTCACATTACTACTCAGTCTCTCCTCATCGTAAGTCTGTTCCCCTTTTCCACGTTTGGTCCTCCAACCTATGCATTTTAATCCTCGTTTTCAACTAACATGACCGGTGTGTTGTTGGCCAACGCCTCTTGGTTACCTTTTTTCTTATGAAGGACTGCATTGACGCTCTGCTTGATCATAAACTGGGTGTACCGCCTGTTCTTCCGTCTTCTGCAAGTGCGGAGGAGATTCAGAATTGGGAGTGCGCCAATCATTTACCGAATACGCAATTTCTGGATAGTCTGACTGGTCTCCTGCTAGTCTATTTGGACCATCCCGATCGAGATTTGAGCTCGCTTCTCAATGTTCTCCAGATTCTCCAGCGTCTCTGTTCTCACGACCATGGTTTTACCCTGCTTCAAAAGTACGTTGCACTGAATCATTTCTACTGATTTCATTACAATAATATTAATTTACGAGGTGGTAGACGTAACCATTCCGGCAGAATGGTTTCCGCGGAATCTCATTCTGCCTTCTTTTTTTCACAAAAGGCACCTAAGCTCTCCAAAACACAGTCTGGTGTTTGCCAACCTAATCGGTCGCGTCAACGATTCGTTCAGCGCAGAAAAC